CTCAGTTTCTGGGGGTTTGGGTTAGAGATGACTGGCTTCCCTGGTAATTGACCAACTCCTAAGCTCAATTTTCTTGCCACCAGAGATCAGATTTGTTAAGGACGGAATAGGAAGGATTAAGGTTGAGCTGGAGGAAAAGGTGATAGCAAACCAAAGAAGAAGATCATACATAGTATGAGAGTTCTGGGGGTCCTTGGCATTGTGGGGCCATTATTACCATATGGTGATGGGTCTGTGGTAATTTCTGCTTGTGAGAGACTTGGGGGCCATTTTACAGCCAGTTATACATGATCAGAAGACACTGAACACATAGACATCCCTACCAGAGGAAGAGCTCTTCAAATACGGATTTTGAGAGGGCTGTTGGTTCAAACATGTGTCACCAAGGAACAAATAGGAACCTCCAATCGTGATGATGTTGAGTGGGGACTTCTTGTGTCTTGTGTGCCATGGGGAATATCTGTTATGAAGGAGATGTTCCAAGATGAGAGGACACAGGCAAGAAGACAGGTGCCTCCATTGTCACAGCATTCAGTCTCCTGATTCCACCTGCCCTCTCCCCTAGGACTCATTCTGACTTTGGCTATGCCACTGTGACTTCACCCCTCTTCTTTTAGAGTGAACTGAACCCTCTGAAGAAGGTGGAGTCTAGGGCTAGGAGATTATTAAAGGACACATGCCTCCAAAGACACCTAAAAGTATAAACAGAGTCCATCAAGACTTAAAGCAGTGTTCACATGAATAAAAAATTGAAATATCTCCAGATGACTCTTTTCCCCTGCCAGAATATCCTCTAAATGGGGCAGATAAAGGGGGCATGTACTAAATGGGGGCAGTAGGTGATGCTAACCATGTCATAGGAAGCAAGCCAGAAGTGAAAGCCCGCCAAGCTTCCATTGATCAAGCACTCAATCCTTATGTCTGCCGGACTGCTCCAGAGACTGGTGTAGATAGTTTCTGATTTATCTGGTTCTTAAGAGATGACTTTAAAGAGAAATTCATGAGCCTGAGGGACATAGCCAGAATTGAAGCTAACAGCCCTTTGTATACCAATTTCCAGACTCTTGGTACCTCTTTCAACCTGACCTTCCAAAGTAGCAGAGCAAACAAAAGAAAGTGAGCCGGGCCATTGTAGCTTGTCTCCTTCAGGAGGCTCTAAGGGTCTCAAAATCTTCCCCTGAGATCTGGAGCACCTGCTGGTGGGAATGTGTGGGCAGAGCCTCTGGGTCAGAGAGAACCCAGACGGAGAGAGAAACCAAGGGGGAACACCTCTTCTCATCATGGCCCAGACGAAATCCTTGGCCTTAAGTTTGCTTCAAACCCAGGACTTTTATGGACCTGTTTTGATAATGATCTAAATTAGTCCTCTCTCCAAAGATGGTTCTTCTGAGCAGACTCCACCATTTACTGGTCACATGGGGACCTCTACCAAAGATTGAGTCCCCGTAGCTCCTGAGGGACCATGGAAGAGCTTGGGTTATTAAGCAACATTTGCTGAGCAGCTACCCTGAGGCAGGCACTAGAGGGTCCTGTGCATAACACCGCACCAGCCACGGCCCCTGCCCTCAGCAAGTGGGCAAAGAGATAGGCAGTCAAATAAGCCTGCCCCTGCTGAGTAACAAGGCATTTAATCTGGAGCAAGTGGTTGGTGGAATTAATTAATTAATTACACAGTGTTGTGCTAGCCTGGTCTGGGTGACCAGAGGTGATAGATGGGAGGGAAAGAAAGAGTATTATGTTTTCCAGGGGAACAGGTTGTGTAAATGACCTGGACATGGGAGTGTGGTATGTGTGAGCAAATCCAAGAACACATGCTGGTCAGCATGGAGTGTGGAAGGCAACTTGGGAAAGCACAGAAGAGTGGTGTGTGAGGTTCTAGGGGTTGGTTTAATGAAGTAGGCCCTACAGGCTTGTAAAGAATTGTAAAAAACAAACACTGTAATTCATGTCAGTGAGCTTAAATTCCACCAAAGGAATGGGACTTTTAAACAAGTGGGGGGAGCAGTAGGTCTGTGCACCCTGGTGTTCTCGCCCAGTGAGAGCATTCCAGCAGGGCTTTCTCTCTATTTCCTGATGATGAAAATTATCATTCTATGCAGCGCCATATGTGCATAAGTTATAGCCAGGTGGAGACACTCTGCAAAAAATCCCTACGGGCTCAGCATGTGGGGCAGAGTGTGTTCAGAAGGCAAGGTCCCCCATATATATATATATATATATATATATATATCATCCTAGAGACTTCATACTCAAAATCTTTGCTCACAGGGAACCATCACACATCAGGAAAACAAATGTTTGTAAGTTCATTGTCAGTGCCAGGAGAAAGTCCTTGGAAGAAAAAAAACCCAGTCAAGATGCCTCAGGGAGCAAGCTATAAGATACCATATTAAACTCCCAGTCACTTGCCCTTGAAGTCTCTAAGATTGGCTTACTTTCTGATACACTGGCCACCCCATCATGCACTCCAGATCAAAAATCCCTTGATCCTTTCCCTGAACCAAACCCCAGTCTGGAAGCTCAGATATAGCTCTCCCATCATGGTGTTTCTCACTCCTGATAGAGGTGATCAAGGAAATGTTCATGGGACCATCGGACATCAGGGGTGGAAAAGAAACGTCATCCAATTTATAAGGAGCCCAATGGGAATGGAGTCTGTAGATATATGAAAAGAGGTCTCTAGAAAATTCTGCCTGGCCACCTATTTTGAGGTGCCACCTTCAAAGCAAAGGTAGCCAGCTAATCATTCAAGGCAGAAGCTACACTGGACAGGATTTGCTCAGGCTAGACCATTACCTTGCCCATGTGCAAAGCCTCCTGGGAGAAACCAGAAAGAAAGCCCTGCCTCCTAGCCCCAGGATTTGGCATTTCAAGCCATCAGGGTTCGCAGTACCAGATGTCCACATCTCTCCCTCAACGCAGACATGTTTTCTTAAGAAAGCTCATGTGTCACCTCTCTAGCAAGTCTACAAAGTAGGGGATAAAGTTGGGGAAAAGTAGATTTCTTTTTAATATGGGAAAACCTTTTCTAGTATGTGTAAAACCCAGGGCCAGACTATAGGACTTAGCCAAGATGTCTAAATGCTCACAAGTAAAGTCAAAAAGTCATAAAGTATGTCCTCTTTTGAGAGGCTGAGGCAAGCATGCCTTCATGGTGGTAGAAAAGTTTCCTTTGAATTCAGAATGCTAGGCCCTTCCCGACACTAGAACACAATATGGCAGTGAGCAAGAATGGTCTCAGGCTTCCTACCTCTGTCACCAATAAGTATGATGGATCTCATACACACAGACACTTGGAAACCTGAGCCTGATCATGCAGATTCTGTCCAGATGGCCCATTTGAGACATAGTTTGCTTAGGGAAAAACAGATCTACAGAGGAAGCGTATACTCCAGAGGAGGCTCGGGAACCATTGAAATAGAGAATTTGGAGAAACCATGTACCCTGGAGTGAGTGGTCTGGAGGTGTGGTTTCCAGATAGTGACCTCTTGATCACACCGATTTCTCCTCCCCATAGAGATGTATTGCTGGAAAAAGTCCAGGGCAAGGATCCCTCTTGCCCAAGACTGAACATGGTACAACATCAGGAGCCAGAAGCAAATTTACTGTGACTTCTCAGCCATAGCCGGACCTGAATGTTGAAGAAAAACATATTCTCAGCATAGAATCCCCTTCCCAAGGGCTAATTCTCCACATCCCCCTAAATCCCTCCATTTTCCTAGGCCAGTCCCCCAAACAGGACTCTGAGGCATGTCTTCATGCCCTGATGTCCAAGGTCCTTCTAAATCTCAGTCATAACCACATATTCCCTCCCCAGTGTCCCTGGAAGTGCACGGTTAGGTCTCTACTGTTCCGTCCATAGCGCCAGGTACCAATGCAGTGAAGGTTTTAGCGACCCAACCTGGGCAGGAAGGGACTGGTGAGGTGAATGAAGTTAGGTATCCCCGAGTGAGATACATCCTCGCTCAAAGCCCTGAGTACCCCAAAGCCAAATGTTCAGGGCAAAGGTTAAGGTTGTGCAGGAAGGTGTGTGTTTTTTCTTGTCATTTACGACTCTGATGATGGACTCACGTTGCCCGCTCTTCCCTTTCTCTTACACCTTTCCTAACTAAAGGAGGAGTCCTTGCTTGGTAAGTGACGTAATCCGCAAAGACATGAGAGAATTTATTAGAAGCCACTCAGGATGCTTAGCTACCTCCTTCGAGGGAGAAGGACGCGCACAAATGCCTGTAGAGACTCGTTTTGTTGTTTCGTTTTGTTTGTTTGTTTGTTTGTTTGTTTTTCAGCCAGACTATTTGACTTTACATTTATTTTGGCCCCTCCCTCTCTTGACTCCTTTAGTTGGAAATTACTCAAATGTCAGTTTTCGACCTTGACTATTTTTTTTAAGAAAGAAAGAAAAAAAGAAAGAAAGAAACCAATTCTCATCTTTGGTTCTTTGACCCACATGACATTTGTTCAAGGTTTTACTCAGGCAACTTTTTCTTTAAAAAAAAAAAAAAAAGTTAGTTGAGGATTTGGGTTGAAATTTAAAATTTGCCTTTATCCCCTCTTGTGTTTTTAATTTCCAAGATATAATTTTTGAGGCCTGTAGCCCGTTTTCTTTTTTATTCTTCTTCCCGTTCCTTTATTTTTATTATTGTTTGAAGTTAAGGGTGTCTACAGCCCTCCCCGTTTCTATTGATTTGTCTCTTTTGTTTGAGTTCATTAGAGATTACATTCTGTATAATTTCCTTTTACTTTTGTTTAATCTGGATCGCATGCCTTTTCCCTGCATGACTCCTAAATCTTCCAGTTATTCTAGCAGGGGGTAAAAAAAAAAATCTAGAGGTTTCCTATTTCTGTGGAATTCTTTCAGGAATTTGTGCTTTTGTTTTTTGGCGTCTCCTCTCTCCCCTCTCTCTTTGCTTTCGTTACAGTGACTCATGATGGTTAACATTCTTGGTTACTTACACACAGCCCGGAGCTCAGCAGTGTCCGACGGGTCTTTTTGTTTTCAGATCTCTGGGTCGGGGTCTGCTGCTGACCTCTTTAGCAAATCAACCAGCCCGCTCACCGCCTCCCGAGGGCGCTCGCAGGAGTACGACTCAGGCAATGACACATCCTCACCGCCTTCCACGCAAACCAGCTCAGCCAGGTCGCGGGGCCAAGAGAAGGGGAGCCCCGGTGGGGGTCTGAGCAAGAGTCGGGACCTCAACTGCGGCAACACTTCCGATTCAGGGAACTCCTTCACCACCTCCTCCCCCCAGAACAAGGGGGCTGTTTTGGAAAATGTCTCTCCCACCTGCAGGAGCAGTGAGTCAAGGTCAGTGTATTTGGATGTGGGAGGGTCCCACACTTTAGCGTCACTTTCTTACTCTCTCATCACAGTGCCCTACCTTCCCAGGCGTCTTTATTCTCACAAGAAAGGACATGCCATTAAAATTAGCTTGATTAAAAAGAATATATCTAGCCCGGAGGTGGTGTCGCATGCTTTAAATCCCAGCGCTCAGCAGGCAGAGGCAGGCAGATCTCTGTGAGTTGGAGACCAACCTGGTCTATAGAGTGAGTTCCAGGACAGCCAAGGCTACACAGAGAAAACATGGTCTGGAAAAAACAAAACAAATTACACACACACACACACACACACACACACACACACACACACACACACTTCAGGCACAGCTGGACCCAGGCATTCAAAATGCGCTACTTCATCTTTATCTTTTGAATTTGACCTCTCAGTTCTGCTCCCACACTGTTGGCTTCTGTAGGGAGCCGTCCCTGCATTCTCCATTACAAGATGGCGCCTGCATCCGGCAGGCACGCTCTCTGTATTTCTCGCCAGCAAGAAATCATACACGGGACACTCGGATCCTTCTGCAGGAAAGCTTTAATGCGTCTTGAGAGGAGAGCATAAGCTTACCAGAGCGGAGACCCTGAGCTAAGAATCCCGTCCCCTAATAAAGGCTGGCAGCCGCCGCCTGGGACGTGTTACCCTATGATTGGCTGTAGCTCATCCGGCCATATGACGCCACGGAATAGGCAGAGATCAAGGAATGGAAAATTACCCAGCGCCTGCGCAATAATCTTGTTTACATTCGGTGCCTG